TGTAGAGAGAATGATCACTTGAGGCTTCAGCTATACTTGGTTTACAAAAAAGCATTTTGAGGGAGGAAGAAGAAATAACATATAGAAAAGAAGTGTAAGACATGAATCTGCCTGAGTTCCCAAAGTAGAGAAATGTATCTAAACTTTGAAGAAGAATAACATGACCATTAGGCAAGTGTGGGGCATTTTTGGAAAAGGTCAAATAGTTCAATTTGGCTAGGGCATTGAGCGAAAGCAGATCAGTTTACAAAGTGGCAGAGAGTAGATGTCCTCAAATTGTGAAGCCGGGCAAGGGTAAGGAGAGAGTGAAGGTACATGTCAAAAATGTGATGCTTAGCAGTTTCCACATTAATAGATTAGAGGAAAGAGAGGCTATCCAGAAGCAGGGTCATAAGAGCACAGATCGAGAGCTTGAAGCAACCTTAAAACCATGAAGTTCTATCACCTCATTTTACAGATTAGGAAACTTGCCCAGGGTCACTAGTAAGAGTTTGAGGTGGGATCTGCCAGACCTTTTCAGCTCCAAGTCCAGTGCTCTAACCATTACACCACACTGTTTCTTTTTAGCTAAAGGGAGAAAAGTATGATAAAGCTGACCAACTTTTCTTTTTCCAGTTTGCTTCCCCCCACCCCCAGGTGGAGAGGTAATCATTTTACTTTGTCTCTGTCTTTTCTACAGGAATCAGAAGTAAATTTGGAGATGGTTGGCAGGAAAATTTAAAAAAAAAAAAGCAGAACAAGAACCTGCCACATTGATATCTCCTAGGAACAACATATGTTTGATATTTGAAGACTTATCAGACTACTTAGAGATGGAATACATAAAAAAAACTTGAGAATAATTATAAAGACACATAAGAAATGATGAAAGATAATGTTGTATAAACTGAAGAGTAAAGTGCTAAAGGGACCTGAGGAGTGGGATAGGGCTAATCAGGGAAAGTACAATGCTTTTGCACAATAATCACAAATGATTTGGGAGGCCTGAGACACTTCTGCATAAATTGTGAGCAGATTTCTTCTAAATCACATGCTCAGCTGGTTCACTGATTCTGAAAGACTAAAATATTAGTTCAGAAAGACGTCAAGTCTTATCTTCAAACTATTATTCTTTCCAAGGAATTATAGGAATCTGCATAAATTGCAACAAAATGAAGAAAATTCCAGATGTGGAAAGGAAGAAGAATCCTCAGGGGCACGTCATTATGAATATTTAGACAATTCTCCTCTTGTTATACAGATTTTGCCACAATCTGTTCAGAAGCACACATTCCAGATGAATTTCATTATTATAAAAAATTGGGGTGGGGGGGACAATGTAGGACATTTGAATAAATACTGATCAGATAAATTTCACTTTCCCTCAGACATACTAACTCATATTAACAGCTCTGAAATCATAACTCTCTAGTCTGAAAGAGATTTCTGAGAAGGGGTCACTAGGCTTCAACAGCCAGTTAAAGGAGTCCAACAGAATCTCACAGAAAGGTTAAGAACATTTGCTTCAACTGTTTCATGTGTATAAATGTCACTCCCGTAAGACCATAAGTTCCTTCAAGACAGGGATCTCATAGAGCGAAGTGGATAGAACATGGCCCCTGAAGTCAAGAGGACCTGAGTTCAAATTTGACCTTAGACATATAACACTTACGAGCTGTGTGACCCTGGGCAAATCACGTAACTCCAACTGCCTCACCAAAAAAAAAAAAAAAAAGGATAGGAATCTCAACCCAAGTCTCAGTGCTTCTAAAACTGAATCAGATGATGTCAGAGCTGGGGAAGAGCCCTCAGAGATCATCTAGTACAACAACTTCATTTCACAATTAAGGAAACTGAGCCCCTGCGGAATTGACACATATTTTGCAAGTATGTCTAAGCTGCCTTGTCTCCTTCAACAGAATAAAAGCACCCAGAAGACAGGACTATTTCACTATTGTCTTTGTATCTCAGTGCCTGGCAAATAAAGGCTCTTAATAAATGCTTGCTATAATTAAAACAACTCTGAGGTACTACATCACACGCATCAGATTGGTCAACATGACAAAACAGGAAAATGATAAATGTTGGAGAAGATGTGGGAAAATTGGAACACTAATGCATTGTTGGTGGAGTTGTGAACTGATCTATTCATTTTGTTTTTGTTTTTGTTTTTGTTTTTGTTTTGTTTTTTTGGTGAGGCAATTGGGGTTAAGTGACTTGCCCAGGGTCACACAGCTAGTAAGTATCATGTGTCTGAGACTGGATTTGAACTCAGGTCCTTCTGACTCCAAGGCCAGAGCTCTATCCACTGCTTCACCTAGCTGCCCCCTGATCTATTCATTTTGGAAAGCAATTTAGAACTATTCCCAAAGGGTTATAAAACTGTGCATACCCTTTGACCCAGCAATAGCAATTTTAGGTCTGTATCCAAAAGAGATCATAAAAATGGGAAAAGGACCCACATGTACAAAAATGTTTATAGCAGCTCTTTTTGTGGTGGCCAAGAACTGGAAATTGAAGCGATGCCCATTAACTGGGGAATGGCTGGACCAAGTTGTGGTATATGAATGTAATGGAATATTATTGTTCCATAAGAATGATGAGCAAGTAGACTTCGGAAAAACCTGGAAAGACTTGTATGGTCTGATGCTGAGTGAAATGAGCAGAACCAGGAGAACATTTAGCTCTTCTCAGCAAAGCAAGGATCTAAGACAATTCCAAAAGACTCATGATGGAAAATGCTTTCCACATCCAGACCATGGAGCCTGAATGTAGATCAAAGCATACTATTTTCTCTCTTTTTTTTCTTCTTTCTCGTGTTTTTTTTTTTACAACATAACTAATGTGGAAATATCTTTAATATGATTGTACATGTATAGCCTATATCAGATTACATGCTGTCTTCAGGAGGGGGGAGGGGTAAGAGGGGGAGAAAATTTAAAACTCAAAATTTTATGGAAGTGGATGTTGAAAACTAAATACACACACACACACACACACACACACACACACACACACACATGCCTGCTATTTGATTAACCTGCCCAAATCCACTAGTTAATGGCTGAGACAAGAGAGATGGTACAGAGAAAAGAGCATTGGCTCTAAAGTCAGAAGGCCCAAGCTCAAATCCCAAGTCTGACACTTCTGGGCAACTCACTTATCTTACAGGGTCTTAATCCTTCTCCTTGCTCTTCCCTGCTACCCCCAGACATACAGGAGTACACCTCCATGTAGTACACATCTAATAAATTTCAGCTGTTTTTCAGTCATGTCTGACTCTTTGTGTCCTCATTTGAGATATTCTTGTCATTTCCTTCTCCAGTTCATTTTACAGATGAGGAAACTGAGGCAGACAGGGTTAAGAGACTTGCCCAGGGTTACACAGCTAGTAAGTGTCTGAGGCCAGATTTGAACTCACAAAGGTGAATCTTCTTGACTTTTGGCCTAGCAGTCTTATTCACTGTGCCACCTAAGCCGCCCCATTTAATAAATATTTGTAGAATTGAAAGGAAACCTCCTGATGGATGGGATTAGAGCAAAGACTTTCCCATATGCTAAAGGATTTAGGATTGTGTACCTGACTATGCCTCAGGTCCCACGAGGCCTATATTGAAAGCATAGGGCTTTCTGGGATGAAGCTACTGGCCTATGTTCCTTCACAAGCCATTTGCTTCAAACAATATAAAAGGAAAGAAAAAAGATGTGTGTGTTTGTGATGTGCCAAATTATGAGGCTGAGGACTCAGACTTAATGACTTGTTTACCAACAGCCGACTAAAGTCCAATATGATCCTTATCCTCTCCTAACATGCAAAGCACTATGTTGAGTAATCCTTGTTAGCCAAGTTTGATGGGCCAAATATTTTTGATTCCATTTGCTTTAGATATGTATCCACGTGACGTTTCCAAGCATCCTTTCCAAAAGTCCTAATTCCTTACAACATTTTAACACTATTTTTGTATGTTTCATGTGATAAATGAAGGATAAATAGGTGAACTCTTAAAACAAATAGCTTTTAACTGTATTTTCATGTTAAAAGCAGTTTCATTTTTAACTTGCGCTCCAACCCATTTTCAAAGTCCTTTATGAATCTCCTGTGATGCTGAAAATAGGTCTCACAAAGAAGTCATGAGTTACTGACCAATGCAATGACCAATTATGACTTCAAAGAATCAATGCTGTCCACTGCCTGCTACCTACCTCCTAACTGGTAATGGAAAGACTTTTTGGATATGGTAAACAGGTAAATTTGTTGTGGCTGATTATGATTATTTGTTTCAAGGTTTGTTTTTCTTTTGTTCATTGGAAGTGGAATTTAGGAGAGAAAGCAGGGATTCAGAGATAATATAAACAAAAAAAGAAAGAAAAGGTCATTGGAACAATTTTTAAATGCAGAGAAGGAAGTACAGAAAGAGACAAGTGGGACAGCTTTGAAAGTAATGCTGTATTTATTCCTTTGTTTTTAAGCATGGTTTCACATAGTATCCTTTCTATAGTCTACTTTGTAAAAGGAAATGTTCATATTGCATATGTGCATGTTAAATTTAGAATAACAAAAATGATCTTTAAAAAGTCATGAGTTATAAATACAAGCAGCACTCCTGTAAGAACGTGTAATGTAGCAGTGTCAGAATAATGTGCTCTTAGGTCGGTGTTTGTGTTTATGACCGTGAATTCAACAGAATGAAAATACAGTTGTTCTCAATGACGTCACCTCAACTGTGCCAGGCATTTGCTGAGGTACAAAGCTGAGCAAGAAACTTTCCTAAAAGCTTTTACTCCAAGAATAATGAGACAGGAGGCAGCTAGGTGGCACAATGGATAGAGTACTGGCCCCGAAGTCAGGAGGACCTGAGTTCAAATCCGGCCTCAGACCAAACACTTGACACTTACTAACTGTGTGACCCTGGACAAGTCACTTAACCCCAATTGCCTTATTTAAAAAAAAAAAAGCAATTCCAAACATTCAAAGAGGTTTAGCATCTTTAAAGTGTGAAGGGCTAAATACAGACACTTACTCTTGGTTCTGTTGTCCATTTCTATTTTTGCTGACTCCTGAGTTGCTGCTGTTGGAGGTAACTTCTTCCCAACCGTCTGAAACAACCAAAAAATTTTATTTAATAAGATTAACTCAATTAACCCCAGAGGCTGAAACCAGGATTATAAATTAATTAAATAAAAATAGTAGAAATACCTAATTTTTACATTAAAATTGAAAATTACTGCCTGATATATATTGTATACCAATTTCTGAATTATAATGACAAACAACTGGGCAAGGATCTAAATTTAAAATATATTTATCTCATATTTAAGTATTTGGGATTATTTATTCCCTTTCTTCTTCAACATATTTTATTAATATTAATCACACATCTAATAAACCACTTGAGAGGTACAGTTTTCATATTTTAGATTAAAGATTAATTTTTAAATTTAGATTAATTAAACTGGTGATAAATTCCCAACTCATAGTTACTTTGATCCCATATCGCTATCTTTTTTTTAAGTCAGATTTATGATTTTGACATTAAAAGACTAGTGTCAAACTCAAATAAATAGATGCCTGCAGGTGAATACTGAAAACCAATCAACCAGTAAACACTTATTAAGTTCCTACTATGTTCAGTGGGAAGATAAGTGGCATTGTAGATAGAGCACCAGCCTGGAGTCAGGAAGATATGAGTTTGAATATGGCCTCAGACACTTACTAGTTGTGTGACCCTGGGCAAGTCACTTAACCCTGTTTGCCTCAATTTCCTCATCTGTAGAATGAGCAGGAGAAGGAAATGGCAAACCACTCCAGTTTCTTTGCCAAGAAAATCCCACATGGGGTCAGGAAGAGTCGGACATGACTGAAAAAGCCTGAACAACAGTAACACTATGTTACAGGCACTATGTTGTATTGTATTTTTTTAAATTTCTTTTAAACATTTCCTAATTACATTTTAATCTGATTCAGGTTGCACTCTGGAGTTTAAGGGGCTCCTAGTGAGAAAACTCCCTCTACCAATATAAACTGGTATTTATTCATCAACAAATCATTTTAGGGAGCTGCCTGAGGCACTGAGAAATTAAGTGATTTGCCCAGTCTGTAGTATCAGAGACAATACTTGAACACAGGTCTCTGACTGAGGCCTGCTCTCTATTTACTATGCTCTGGGGCCTCTTCACATCTGCAACTACTAAATTACATTAAAATATGTTGGCTTATTATGAATTAATTTTTCTTTTAAAACTGAAGGCTAATTCTATTATCACCAACTACTACTGAATCAACCACAAGGAATGCTAAATAGTGTCTTGCCCAAGAATGCTGCTATGCAAACAGGCACTTCTTACAGCTCATTTTATTCATAAAAATGAAGGCAGAAAAGGTGAGGGCCTTTTTGTGGCTACCAACTTTTTACCATGATTCTGACTTAATTTCCAACCATAGTTTCTATGGATACAAGGGAGACAACTCAGCTAGCAAGTGATAAATCTTCTCACTAGCTGTATAAAAATCTCTCTGCACAAAGAAAACCCATGAATGAAGGAAGAGAGGAAACAAAATTAATGTGTCACTCATGAAACCAGGACCAGAGGAGTTTTCCTCTAAATGATAATGATTCGTAACCCCATTTTAAATCAGAAAAATGTCCTCATGCTAGAAGGGTAAAAATGGACATTAAATCTGAATAAATCACAGAAAGTAGGTAATTCAAATTTTCAACGTTTCATGAATTTTTAAAAATACTTTGCCAAATCTCCTGTACATTTTACTCGGTGACATTTTGATTTGGTGCTATGAGGCTTTCTGAGTTTGACTTCAAAAAAAAAATTAAACACTCAAAGTAACATTCAATCCCTAACTACTACTGAACATGCATACTAAAATCCTTTTCCAATTTTAGAGTGATAAGGGAAGAAAGATAAGAGAAGAAAGACTTTGATCTAAGTCTGTCACAGAGTCAAATCTAGAAAAAGGCTGGCCTTAGGGTCATCTTTTAAAATTATCAGCAATGGAATCTCTGAAACTTCCATTTACAATCCATTTTGTTCTAATAGCAGAAGCAGCTTTTTGTCTCTTCTTTTGTGACCTAAAAAACCCAACATAAACCGTTTCTATTCCTAATCCATCCGGTAGAGCAAAAACAAAGGCAAAAATGTAACAGAAAATGTTACAGCCATTGTTTGACTATCAAATTCTAGTATTTCTATTCTAGAAAAATTTAAATATCCAATGCTTTGGGCTCTTGCTGGCTGATCTTAAAAGAATAAATTCTCAGCTTATACTTTTTTGGGTGATTTTTCTACAATTTAATTCTGAAATATTTAACAATTATGTATTAATAACTTACTGTGATCTGTGTCCCAAAGAGATCAAATAAAAGGGAAAAGGACCTATTTATACAAAAATATTTACAGCAGCTCTTTTTGTGTTTGCAAAGAATTGAAAATTGAGGGAATGCCTGTCAACTATGGAATAGGTGAACAAGTTGTAATATATGATTGTGATGTAACATTATTGTGCTATATGAAATGAAGTCAGTGGTTTCAGAAAAATCTTGGAAGACCTATATGAACTGATGCAAAGCGAAGTGAGCAGAACCAGGAGATTATCATACATAGTAATAGCAATATTGTAATGATGATCAACTGTAAAATACTTAGCTACTCTGATCAATATAATGATCCAAGACAATGATGGACTCATGATGAAAAACGTTATCCACCTCCAGAGAGAGAATTGATGAACTCTGGGAACAAATCGAAGTATAATTTTCTCCCTTTATTTTTCTTGCTTTTTTTTTTTGCAATATGGCTAATACGGAAATATATTTTGCATGATTTCATATATATAACTGGCATCATTGTATGCTTTCTCAGTGAGTGGGGAAGGGTCTAGAGGAAGGGAGATGATTTGGAACTAAATTGTTTTTAAATTAAAAATTAAAAATAATCATTAAAAAAAACTTACTATAGTCAATGCACTGTGCTGAGGTCAGGTGGATACAAAGGTAAGATAAACCAGACACTGTTTTGTCCTGGAAGAGTACAACATCTTTTATCACTTTGTGTTTCTACGGTGACAAAGTGAGCTCCTTTGCATTGCTGACATCCCAGTTCATTAGTGTAACAAAATAAGGGACCACTAAGATATGTCTACCATGTTTACATACTTCTCCTGAGAAAGACATAAAAGCTCAAGCTTTCATCTGTTGCTTCATATCCTACTTCACCTTGTAAGGACACAGCCAGTGAAAAGCAAACATCTCCATCTGAACAACTTTAATCTCCACCTCTCTAATGATTCCTTTCCATCTGCCCACAAACATACTAAGTGACCCACCCCCACCTAAAAAAGCCTTCCCTTTGCTTCATCCACACACTGTTATATCTCTCCACCTCTTTTTGGCCAAATTTGGGGGACAGGGATGTCACTATTTATTTTCTCAACTTCTGGCAAATCTGAAACCTCTCACTGTTTCCTAAAAGCACTTTCTCAGAAAATCATCAGTGAATTCCTAATTAACAAATTAAATTTTTTTTTTGCAATTCTTATCCTCAATTTCTGCAGCAGCTGACATTATTGACCAGCTTTCCTTGTTTTGGATAATTGTTTCATCTTTGACTTCAAAGATACCAATCACTCCTATCTCTCTGACTTTTTCTCCCTGACTTTTCATCCTCTTTTTAAACCTTTAAGGTGGTTTCCCCTCCCAAGGTTATGTCCCTGCCCCCTTCTCTCCTCTCTATAAAATTTAATTTGGCAATCTCACTCATCACCAAGACTTGAACACAGGTAGCTGCCAAATCCCCAGCCCCTGGCTGCTCCCAGAAGCTCTGTATCTGTTCCAAGTGTCCACAGGACACCTATAACTGTGCTTCCTACTAATTTCCCATGTGAAAATTGAGTTTATTATCACCCCCAATAAAACCTGCTTTCTCCGATGTCCTCACAGTTGCTCATCCCAAACCTCATATCTGTCATTTATTCCATGTGTCAGGATCACAACTTTGTATTATCTTTGACTCTTCCGGCTTCCTCACAACTAAAGTAAATCAGTATGCAATCCTACCAGTTCTTCCTCCATAACCTTTTTGGCATTCATCCCCCCCCCTCTCTGTTTTCACTGCCGCCACCCTAATACAAGTCTGGACTTGATAGTGGCCTCCTAAAGGGTCGTCCCACTTCCACTCTCCCCCTCCCCAGCATCATCCTTTACACACATCCCAGCCAGACATGGCCACGCCTACTCATCTGCTCAAAACTCTCAAATAACAACTCACATTTACATGGCACATGAAGATCTGCAATGGGCTGACCTTGTGGGTAAGTAGTACAAGTATTATTATCTCCATTTTGACAAAGAAGGAAATTGAAATTCTGGGAGATGAAATTATGCCTACGGTCACACAACCAATAAGTAGCAGAAATGGGACCCCAATCCAGGTTTTCTATCCCCAAATCTATTTCGCAGGTAAAAGTCAAATTCTCTGCCTGACATTCAAGGTCCTCCAGAGTCTGACATCACCCCACATTTGAAACTTTATCTAACACCTGCCACACCTGCATATATTTGACACATTTCACTGCAGAGCCAAACTGGACCAGTCAACATTAGTGTAAAATAAAGCACCTTCCTTTCCCACCACATTTGTGGAACAATTATTGAACAACACTGTCTGTCTTATGGCAGTGATAGGTGATGTATCCCTTTTAAATTTCCATGTTTTATGTCTATGGAGGGACAGAGGTGGCCACAAACTATAGTGCTGATAAGTGGCTGTCATACTTTTGCCTAAATACCCTGAACAAGGGAGAACTCACTACCACTGAAGTGGCCTACTCCATTTGTGCAGCTTACATTGTTCAGTAGGCAGAGAATGACCTCCCCTCAATCCTCATATCTTTTGTTGTTGAGTCACATCCAACTGTACCTGACCCCATGGACATTACCCATGGGGTTTTCTTGGCAAAGATACTGGAGTGATTTGCCATTTCTTTCTCCAGCTCATTTTACAAATGAGACAACTGAGGCAAACAGAGTTAAGTGACTTGCCCAGGGTCACACAGTTAGTAAGTGTCTGAGGTCAGATTTGAACTG